AAGCGGGGTTATTATACAACCCCACCTCCATAATGAGGAGCACACAATAATCATCGAGTGGTTTGAGGGTTGGGTACGTAGACAAAATCCGCCATTTTGGGAAACCCTAGAACCTCAGCCCTAGAACCCTTATATCCCTCTTTAAAAGTACCATAAGGTACCTCTAATTTGATCCCAAAACTAAACCCTAAACCCTAATAAATCCCCATGTTATGATCAGCACTCCGTGCCGTAGAGCGGCCACGAAAGTCTGCGCTAAGCGAGACCAGTCTTTGCGTAGCAGTGACCTCTTCGGGGTTTAGGGTTTAGGGTTTATATAGGGTTTAGGGTTTACATAGGGTTTAGGGTTCATATAGGGTTTAGGGTTTAGACGTCTTAGACTTGGGCCCAGAGAAGGCCTCCCCGAAGGCTCCAAGTACGCAAGAATTGGGTACTTGTAATTTTGGGAATACTTCCTTATTGAGTACAGTACAGGTTTTGGGGAAGTAAAGGAATATTGGGTACTTGGACCCTTAAAGGGTTTGTGGCTTCGGGATTAGTATTCGGCCTTGGGGATTACCAGGACAGCTCGCATACCCTCTATAGAGCCCAAATACACCCAAATAGGACCTACGTAAATCCTTCTTCACCGCCCCTAGTGGCAAAATACTTGCCGTATGGTATTATCATTTACGGATATGAGGGGAGTATGTATGGTTAGGGGGTGCGGAGGTGTATTATATTATGAGGGTGAGGCCACTGCAAGCCTTTGCAAAAGCCTAAACCCTAAACCCTGAAAACTAAACCGCCCGCGACTATCCTGAAACCTTGAACCTAACACCCCAACCCTAATCCCTAAACCCTAAACGCAAGCCTTATACCTGAGACCCTAAAGCCTCAAGCCCTCGTTGCCTGCCAACTGAGCCATAGTCCAAACTCCTAGTATCCCCCTAAATAGATCCGATAAAACTCCCCTCTATATTCCCCTATATATACCCCTTTAAGGAGTGCAGACTATAGCCCAACTAGCCTCAGAGAGGGAAACAGGCTTTGACTAGCCCAGTTGTTTTGCATCAGCTGCTCGCGGGCCTGCCACTCAGGTCTAGCGCTTGAGGCTTGAGGTTTAGGGATTAGGTTTAGGGTTTTAGGGTTGTACTTGCGGTTTGTTGGAGTTTGTGGGGTAGGAAGATGAAAGGGTTATAGAGATGTATGCAGGCACGGGTTCAGGGCTTCAGGGTCGAGAAATTTTGGGTTATAGGGTTGCATAAGCATATATAGGGATGGACAGGATTTTTGGGATTTGGGCCTTAGGCCCCCAAACGTACAATATCCATCAACAAATCGCTGCCTTTCACAGGATAATGGACAATTTGCCTTTTGCAGGGCCTTTTTTGGGCTTCATGATAATTCGGGGCGTGTAGCATACGGGTCGTTCTGCAGATTCCGGCTTCCGATGCCAGCAGAGAGTCATGTCGCCCAGAGTGCATGCAGCATCCGAGACTCGAGCTGCAACTGAGAAACCCCTCTACAAACACGTATATTCCTAGACCCTCCTCCTACCCTCTATTAGGGCCTAGGTACCCACTATTAGGGACCATATATCCCCAATTAAGGGTACAAGGAGGGTCCTGGTTCAGATTCACTCGCACTTGTTATCATAATCCTTATATCTGAACAGAAATGTAAGCACAATGATTTCCTTCGGATTTTTGTTTAGACCTTGGATGGGTTTTATCTACAGTTGGGGTACAGGTAAAACCTTCTGTCCGACAACCTAATCCAACACGGGGCAGGGTGAATTTCCAACACCACACCCCCGCAACAGCAGTAATACCTGCGACAATGACAGTAGAAATCACACCAATGATGGAACAAGCAAAAACCGTAAGAATACCGACGCAGATAAGTGTAATGTCCGCTGCAATGATTAAAAAAAAACGTTCCAAGCACGAACAAGCCCAAAGATATTACGATCTTATCAGTAGTACCTGAACCCCCTAAAATATGTAGAATAGTGGCTCCTCCTGTTTTCAAGGGTTTTGGGCAATGATTTTGCCTCTTTTTTGGGATCCAGGTAATCCCCCAAACCCTAAACCCTAAAATCACTAGGAATCGTAAGAATACTAGTGCTGGAACGGGCATAGCGCCTCGCTACCCAGCTTCTCGTGCATCCGCTGGAGGATTCCTAAATCAGATTCGGGTGTTCTGCTAGGGTTTAGGGTCTAGGTTTATAAAGGTTCTAGGGCTTAGGGAGTACAGGTTTCAGGGGTTTACTAGGCGAGGTCAGGGTTTTTAGCCGTTTTCCATAGGTCCATATTGAGACTATATGAGCCATAGTCTAAAATCCTAGTATCCCCCTTAATAGACCCTATAGTAGTCACCTATATAATCCCCCATATAACCCCCCCTTAAGGAATTTAGACTATGGCTCATATGACTATGTATAATGTAGATATGCAAAGAAGTGTGTACAACAAAGGGGCACCTGCATGCTCAAAGTTGAATCCTCAACTCTAAAACCCCAAACCTCAACCTACAACCGTAGGGTTTAGGGTTCAGGGTTTAGGGTTAAAGGTTAAATTCAATTACCAAACCCGCCTCTAACGAACCTTGAACCAAATACATCCTTGTATATCCTTCTACAGCACTGAATAACCCCCGGAACGACCACCAACCCAAACAAGTCTTAACCCCAAGCCCTGAATGTCCCTATTCCTACTTATCCCTCGCTCCATATATATATATATACACATACATATATGTATATGCAATATGTATATACCCCTCTATACTGTGTGTATATATATACAAATATGTATATATGTATATCCCTATATTACTACCCCTTAAAGGTAGCCGAATGCAAACGTTTCTTTTCCAGCGTCCTGCGGCGCCGCTATCGAGACTTAACTCTCCAGCTTCTGCCTTAAGGGAGATTGTTAGGTTTAGGGTATATAAGGGTTTCCCAAAATTAGGGGTACCATTATGGGGTCCCAGTAAGAAGGGTTATAGTACTTGGGGGTCTATATTGGCCCACCCTATTTGGGGAAACTACCATGTAAGGGTTTTAGGGTTAAGGGGGCATGTAAGGGTGATCTCAAAGTTATATAAGGGCTATCCTATAGGATTATATAATGGCCATATATGGATTTATCATATAGAAGGTTTTTAGGTTTCAGGCAGGTAGCTACGAGTCTACTGTAGGAGCCGCAGCAATTACAATAGGGCTTCGGCCGCTTCTCAAGGCTTCAGGGCCTAAATCTCACACCCGAAGACTCAAAACGTTTCACCCTAAACCCTACACCGCGCGGGCTTGGGAGTCAGAGAGTAGGATTTCGGATGTATACAGCTAGGAGCCTTAAATCCCAAACCCAAAACACCAAAGCTGAAATCCCTTCGGAACCCAAACCCCCCCTAAACCCTATAAACCTTAAACCCCAAATCCTATCAACCCCACACCCTAGGGTCTAGAGCGGCTTCATCAAGGACCAAGATGTGGCGAGCGCAAGGGTTATGGGTTAGGGATGTCGTTCGGGGCTACATGTCGGGGCATAGCAGGAGGTCGGGCTCAGGATTGAAGAGCCCCTGTCTGAAGGATCCTCATATGTTGAGGCTTGGAAGTGCCAATCTTCCAACTTCAGTATCGAAAGACACAACAGAAACCACAAACCCACGACCAATGAAACCTAAAGCTCAAAAACAACTGAAACTCCAACCCCACCGACCCCAAACCCTAAACCCCACCCCCGAAACCTTAAATCTTAAACCCTCAATCCCAGAACCCAAAACCACCCTAAACCGAATGCCAATGCGATAAACACCTTTCAAGATGCCTACATAGACTCTATCTCACCGTGCTGGGGCCCTTTACAGAAGAAAAACCCTAGACCCTAAACCCCTAAGCCCCTAAACCCCCGAACCCTAAAACCCCTAAACCCTTAAAACCTAGAGCCCAAACACCCCCCTCTCTCTCGCAGATCTTCTGCCCGGTGGCAAGGCTCGTCATGGCGTCCAGCGCGTGGCTCCAGAGGTCCGTAGCTTGCCCAGTGTACCTGACGCGGTTTAGGGTTTAGGGTTTTGTGGGGGGTTGGGGTTTAGGGGTTGAAGGTCTAGGCATTTGGGGCATAAGGTTTAGGAGGGGGTTTCGGGTTTGCGGCTTAGGGGGTTTTTGGGGTCAGGGTTTTCGGCTTGGGGTTTTGGGGTTGGGGCTAACGGAATCTCACTCTACTCGGTACCTCCAGTAGTAGCAGCTGTCATGCGCATAGCTGCCCACTTTCTATGGCTTCTAAAATCCAGAAGCAAGCCTGACAACATTAGACTTTAGAGCCTAAGCCCAGACCTCAACACCTTCAACCACTTAATCCAGAATCCACACCCTATCCTTCAACACGAAGCCCAGAACCCTAAGCCTACTAATTCCTCAATCCTAAATCCTTTGCACCCAGGTCGGTCACTTGAGGAGGATGGTCGCTTTGCCGTTGTCCAGGTTGTCAAAGATCATGTCACTGACCTGGTTTAAGGTTTACGGTACCTTGAACTCTGAGGCCTCAAAATAAGCCCTGAACCCCCAAACCCTAAACCCTAAACCCTAAACCCCAAACCTTTAACCCTAAGTCTAAAAAACGCAGGATGTCAGAAGGTCACCTCCAGGTGCCTGGAACGGAGCTTTAGGGATGTCAGGTTTAGGTATCAGGGTTTAGGGATGGTACTTTCACCTTCAGATCAGCTCAAAGAGGTGTTAGGGTGCTTTAGGGCTTAGGGATCTATCGAATTCAGGTATCAAGGTAGGTCTTATTCATTGGGATTAGCCTTGGAGGAGACCCGGGGCAGGAGGGGTGGTTTTGACATACCCGCATGGAACTGTTTGATCGTGCCCTGATGGGTTCTTGGACTTGAAAGACTAACTCAAAGCAGGCACTATCTAAGGACTTTAAGAATCCAAGCCAGCGTTTTTGTAGATGTAGAGTAAGGTTGGGTGGTCACTACAGCTCTAAACCTTAAACTGCGAATCTGGACACGATATACTTGAACCCTCAGACCTCAGCTCCTCCAGCCTGCCCCAATCCCACCACAAGACCCGGAACCTTAAAGCCGGTTTAGGGTTTCAGATTTAGGTTTTAAGGCTTTTAAGCTCTAGGGTATTCAGGTTTAGATTAGAGTCTAGGGCTAACTCGAAACCTGACAGCCTCAACACCAAGCCTGGACTCTAAACCCTGCACCCCCAACATCAAACCCTCAAATCAAAACTTACAATCCTGAAGCCTACACCCCTGCGGCCCTCGTCAAAGAGTCTAAATCACAAGGCTTTACAAAAGTGACCCTGAATCTAAACCCTAATTTAGGCAGGCTTGCAATAATTTTGCAGCTTAGTATATGGCGTCGGGTGACGTGTCCGGGCCCGATTGCACCACAGCCTGAGCGGGGGACGTCTTAAGCAAGTAGAAGGTTTCAGGTTGAAAATTCAACGTTCACGGCGTAAAGATAGGGATGTGTAAAGATTACAATAAAGGCTATATAAAAGTTTGAGGAGCTATATCTAAGATCATATACATATATATACAGGGTATTTTAGGTGTTTAATGTTTGATTTTGTAAGTTTGTGGCGTCGTAAACTGGAGTATCACATCGAAACGCAGTGGGAAATACTGCGTTTGATTAGGGGCTAGAGTTCAGGCTTTGGGGGTTACGATTTGGTGTTTAAAGTTCCGGGCATCGCGATTGGGGATCAAGATTTACGACATATGGTGTTTTAGGTGTTTATTGTTTGTTTTTGAAAGTTTGAGGCTTAGCCAACTGGAGTATCAAATCGAGATGCAATGAAAGCTACTGGTTAGTTAATTAGGGACTAAGGTTCAGCTCTTAGGAATTAGGATCTGGTGTTTAAAGTTCAAGGCTTAACGACTGGGGTTGAAGATTTACGGCTTCGCGTACAGGGTGTAGGGGCTCTTCCAAACCTATCACCATTCAATTTTAATTACGGGTTAAGGTATGAAGCGTATGAATCTCCAGGATACGTAGGCCCAATAACTACCAGCCCCTCCCCTAACCCTCCGCCACAACGGGTTAACATTAGTCCCCAACACAATAGGGACTGGAGCGTCCCTCAAAATTGCGAAGATTTCCCATGACGACAGCCTAAACCATCGACCCAAAATCATGAACCGTAAACGCCGCAAACCCTAAACTTAACCCTAAGCAATCCAAGACAAGCAACTGAAGATGGTCCCCGATTTCCCAAGCCACTCCAGTGGGAAGGCCACGGCGCTGGAGTTGAAACTCCTTGCTGTTTAGCGTTTAGGGCTTAGGGGTACTTCAAGCGTGAGGATGTCCACGGGTTTTTAGTAGGTAGATGGTTCAGATTAAGAGTTGAGGGTTTCGGGTTGGTTTATGGTATTTCCTTTGGGGCCGAAGGGGTTCCCATGAAAATGCATTGGGGTGCAGGTATATAGCATGTAGCTACACGGACCCTATGGGGTGGAGGGTTTAGAATAACCTGTACATGTGAGCAATTTGTGAGAATGCTCATGTGCTGGAAAGATATATAGGCTACTCTAGGTAGAACTTAGAGCGAGGTAGATGTATTGACTACGAAGCACGGGTGGCAGCCACACTAGCCAAAAAGGAGAGATTACAGGATATTGCCTGGTTTTAACCAGGGCTGTCCATACCGACCCCTAAGCCCGATGAGCAGCTACAGTCCCAGCTGCTGATTTTATTGTCCTTCGTTTCTTTCACTTACTTCTCCATTTCTACGTAACGTACCCACATAGTCCCGACATAAGCCCTGTGTTCCTGTTTAAGTGGTCCTTCGGTCTCATACCCTAAACCTTGAGCCCTAAATACCATGAATCCTACACCGCGTGAAGCCTCTGAAGCCACAATGGATACTCCTGTCTTCGACTTCATTTTCCGTTTCCTCTACACTTGGTAATCCAACACTCTAAACCCTGAGCCCTGTAGCTCTACAGCTGCGTGGTCTTGTCCTTCTGATTATCCATCATTGGCTATAAGGCAAAGAAGCGGATGCATAATTTAATGCTTGGAAACTTGTGGAGCCTGAGGTTGCAGCGTTTAGAGTCTAGATGAGTTCAGGGCTGTAACTGCATCAAATCACTGCCATCTTCATCTTGAGGTTAATCGACGCACCCTACACCATAAGTATTTAAGGACTCTAGGACCGCGCTATAAGCAGCTACGCAGGTCCATCAAGATCACGGCGTTGGGATGGGCCAAAGCCCTCCTGGGCGAGTGCAGTGTCCACAGGCAGACAAGCCCTCCAAGCTAAGTCATGGCAAAGCCCTAAGCCCAAGCGTCGACAAGTTGACTTCCCCATTGCTGACCTCAATGTCCTCGGTCACCTTCGTTGTGACCTCAGCACATACTGGTCGGAGGGGCTACAAAGTTCAGGAATCCAGCCCTCCATCGCCTCCACGCCATCAGACACGCGCTGGGCTGAGTACACCCACCCATAGGTGCCTGTGGATTGCACGAAGGTCGTTCATCCGGCCTCCTCCGAGGAAGTCCTTGCGCATGTAGCTGTGGGCATCTGCCACGATCACAGGAGCCTTGCAGCCAAATACCACGATGCATTAACGTGTACCGGTTCAACGCACCACATGCTTTCTGTGTGCACTTGGCAAATTTGGCAAGTGAGCGGTTTCAAGCTCAACGCACCAATCACGAAACCAACCAAACCAAGCATTGAAGTTGAGATTCGGCGTCATCAGACTTGGCATCTCCACGAAACCAGAGCCGATCTGGATCGAGAGGGCGTAAGCGGCTTTTGAGATTCATGGTTTGCATGCGCACGAAAATCATCTCGATCAATGTTCTGGTCTACTCAAATGGACACCCAAAATATGCACTCACCATTACTCATACAGAACCCTAGGTACACTCACCAAACCCATGTTAATCCTACATTATATGAGTTGATATATGAATATATATATATATGTATATACAGACTCTGGGCTAGACTTACTGATGCTTCAGGAAGTGTGAGGGAGTGGATCCCTGTAACGATTTAGATCTATATATATATATATACATAGCTGTACATATATATATATATAGAATATGTATATAATCTCTCATCGTGTATAATACGCTCCCCACTCCCTCCTGGTAGTTTAACAGAATGTGCGGTTTAGAGTTCTTTTATCGGACCTTTTTCCTACACCCTAAACCCTAAACCCTAAGAGTGCTTCTGCTAGCAAGGTCAGTTCGGTTTAGGGTTTAGGGCTTTGTTTTTTTTTTTTAGCTCCTCTTCTGGATGCTTTGTAAGAATTGGGAAAGAAAATGGAAGCCACTCCACCTATGGGTTTAGGGTTTGGGGTTTAGGGTCTAGGGTTTGGGGTTTAGGGTCTAGGGTCTAGGGTTTAGGGTTTAGAGCGTTTTTGCGGGAATGGGGGAAAGTGTGAGAAAAACAGTTTAGGAAGATTCTATAGGGACTACCCTACCCTGAACCCTACCCACCCCGTACCAGACACCAGGTAGTCATGGAACTTCTTTCAGTTTGGGGGCTCCTTCCGGGGCTGTCTAGGGTTAAGGGTTTATACATGTTACAGCGTTTGGGGTTTAGGGAAAGCCTATTTCAAAACAGACGGTAAGCTTTGTCAAGAACCTTGTGCCGTTGCAGGTTAGCTTTGAATAGCGTATCACTTCTTCCCTACGCAGAGGGGTAAAACCAAAAATCCCCAAGGCAGCCCTAACCCTCAACCTTAAACCACTTGCTGATCTGGACTCCCAGCACAAGGGCAGAAGATGTAGTGACCTAGGCTCGACAGCTTCATCATGGTTTCGTGCTAGGGATTTCGGGTCTAAGTTTTTTTTGTGTAAGATTTGTGACATAAACCCGAAGCCCGGTGTCGGGTTTGCAGTGCAAGGTTTCGAGCTGAGCTGCTAGGGTTTAGGGCTTGGGGTTGAGGTTTGGGTATAGGGCTGAGGGCTCAGGGTTAGTGCTTCAGGTTCAGGGATTCAGGGTTTAGGGTTCGGGATTCGGGGTTAAGGGTTCAGGGCTACCAGGTAGAGGTAAGACTCGGTAAGACTCCCCATCCCGTTGCCGCTTGATTCAACCCAAACATGGCTTAAGCTACAAAAGAATTCCTCAGAGTGCGGGTCTTTTGGTATACCACTTTGAGAAACCCTTCAACCTTTAGACCCTAAACCGTGTCCAGGTTTTCAACAGGGTCTTGGTTTAGGATGGGAGGGCGTTCATCTTGAAATCCCTTTTGGCCAAGACAGTCTCGTGCCCTGTTTGGACTGTGCGGAGGGGAACCGCAGTGGCACTTGGTATCATTGTGTCGTCAACAACACCATCTATTTCCATGAGTGACCTTGCTACGAGGTCCCCCTGATCCTCCAAGTAGCCGCGCTATGAGTATAATGGGGGCTGTAAGCTAAACATGAGCACGGGAGGTTAAGAAGGATCATCGCATGCAAATCGTGACAACAACAGCGATTGTACTAGTGCAGACGCTAGATTCAGCTAGCCTTGATGACGCACCCAGTATAGTCCACACTAAAATCCTGCAGAGGGGGAAGATCTTCTAAAACCCCTCTCTAGGGGGGCCCTAGGAAGAATCATAAACCCTAAACCCTATATATTCCTTGTAACCCTATATAATCTGCATAAATACACACTTACATAATCATCATAATCCCTATAACCCTAAACCCTAACCCCCTTGACCCCGAATGGGCCCTAAACGGGGCAGCCCGAGACGAGCCGCTAGCAGCGCGGAAGAACCATCTTCCATAATGGGATTGCCACAGCCTGGTTGAGGCTAGGGCTTAGGGTTCAGGATTCAGGTGTCAGAGTTCAAGGTTTGAGGTTTAGGGTTTGCCAAAGTTTGGTTGGCCGGGCTGCTGTTTAGGAACTTTATCTAAGCTACTATGCTGGGATATAATACAGGGCTTAAGGTTACTATATTACTCTCTATAATGGGGAACATGAAGTGGAAACTGGGGGGATAGAAGGATTTAAGAAACTTCGTTGAAGCTACTATATTGGTGAAACCACATTGGTTACTACATATCATCATTATGGCAACTTAGTTTAAGTCCCTTAACAGCAACCCAGTTGAGGTAGACCGAATCGCATTGTTGAGGGTCCAGGGCGTCTCCCTTCTCCTGGGCGAGTTGTAAGGTCTTTAAAGCTCACTTCAGTTGTACCCTGATGTATCGAACATGCCTCCTCATCCGCCCCTAAACCCTAAACGCCTAAACCCTAAACCCCTAAACCCTCAATTCCGGATTTGTTCCGGGGATGAACCCTAATGTTGAGCAAGCATGCTTAAAGGCAGGGTAGGATTCTATGACCATAATAGGGATATAACCCAAGAAATCAAAGAGCACTCACCCTCCTAGGGCTCCTTTTAGAATGCTCTTTGATTCTGTTCACCCTAGGTCAAAATCCTAACCTGCTTAACGGGGAGGACACAAATTTTCCCCGCCGGGACAGAAAAAGTCTGGAAGGCTACTTGGGCTAATAAGCTTGGAGCCCGAAAACGTACAGGCAAGTTCGTTCGGCAAAAATAACAATCAAAGAACAACCGGCCCCAGAATATCCCGACTTACTGGAATTCTCTATATTTGTACTACTAATACTACAACCAGTACTACTTTGTGCTACCCTGACCCCCCGGTTCGTTATTGCGACCCCCCACCCTTGCCGCAGACCTAATTCACAAAACGCGTTTTTTTGGGGGAGTCTTTAACTTTATGGTCAGTTGAACACTATAAACCTCAAACCTTAAACCGGCATGGGGAAGGGAAGTATGTAACGCATATGATTTGTAGACAACCTGCTAGGGATGCTTGCAAACTTCTGAAACCACACCGCGGTGATACGGTACTGGCCGAACTAATCAAAAGAGGGTTTGAGGGCACAATATAGTTCAGTTATGCAAGGAATATGGGGGATTAGTACTGCGATTATTGAGGCTTCTACATTCAAACATTAGTCGAACAAACGCTATGGAGCAAAGTTCATTGGACCAATCTGTGCGAGCTCCTACACAGGCCTCGTGAAACGCTTGCAAAGCTCAACCCTTAACCCTGAAAATCCTTTGCCCTAGATCCTAAGCCTTTCAATCCAACACCTTCAATCCAAAACCCTAGACCCAAAAGCATGAAATCCTCAACCCTACATCCTTAACCCTAAAACCCTGAGAAATCTGAATTCATCAAACCCTGCCAAGAAACGTGTTCCGCTTTGCGGCCTCCACGGGTGCCTCGTGGTCCGGAACTGGCCACCAATCCTGACGGGTGATGTCAGGCTTCATGGGTTTAGCTTAGGAGGACCCCCCACCCTGTAATAGTGACTATAAGGGACAATGGGGGTTGTATTAGGGTCCTATTATATCCCTATTATACAACTATTAGGGTGTAGGGGTTCAGGGGTTTTGTTTACCCTAAACCCTAAACCCCTAGACCTTTAAACCATTTCGGGGTTTAGGGTTTGCGTTTTAGTTCTTAGGCCTCAAGGCTTAGGGTTGACAGACCTAGGGAACTTTAAAGGGCCGTATGGATACATAGGGTGTAGGGTCCAGGATAGGGGGGCCATTCGATTGGAACAGTGGAGAATTAAAGGGGCGCTGCTAGAGTTTAGGGTTTAGGCTGGGATTAGGGTTTAGGGTTTAGGGTTTGGGCAGGGATTTAGGGCTTAGGGTTTAGGGTATTTGGCATTGGGGGCCTCGTGGTTTGAGAGTTTGAGGGTTGAAGGGTGTCGCGGCCGCTGCGCCAATGCGCGCCCCCTCCACACAACGCGCTACCACATCATGTGATGTTCTCAGCAAAATCGAATCATGCCGTCCTTGTATCCTTGGACCCAAAGCCTGATTTGTTGAGGGATTCCATCCCCTGCTACACCCTGAAACCCACATCCTAGACCCGAACGCCAATGACTCTAAATCCTAAACTGCAGAAATCGTAAACCGCAAGTCCTAAACCTTGCACCCAATTACAGGATTCCCGACTCCCATGTTCCGCCTCCCCGCCCACACTGCTTATTTCATTTCAGCTTCGCAGAGGATGAAGGAATGGATCCCTATAGTAGCCCCTATATAATCCCCAATACACTCATAGTTTCATTTTCCTTTCCGCTCCCTCATACCTAAAAACCCTAAACCCTCGGCCCTCGTCCTTAGATGGTACTGTAGTTTCCGTTTTCTTGACCACTCCTTCCTTACCTGCTAGCAGGGGTGAGGCTACACCTACACCCCGACACCCGAAATCCACAACCCTGAACCCTAAATCCAAAAACACTAAACCCTAAGTCCTAAATCCTCAGCTTAAACCCTATATCCAGAACCCAAAACCCTAAACTCTAAAACCTAAACCCCAAATCCTAAACCCTAAACCCTGCGGCAAGACTGCCCCTTACATCCGCCTGGCCCGGGGGGAAGAGGTCGTCTGACAAGGTTTGCAGTCTCAGCTTGAAGTCCAAGGTCTCCTGTTTAGGGTTTGGGCTTTGGGGGTTTGAGGGTTTGGGGTTTTAGGGTTTAGGGTTTCGGGCTTTGGGGGGTTTAGGGTTTAGGGCTTAGGGTTTCAGGTGTGGAGTTTGAGGGTTTACGGTTTCGGGCTTTGGGGTTTGAGGGTTTGGGGTTGAGGGTTTAAGGTTCAGGGCTTAAGGTGTAAGGGTTCCGGCTTAGCGTTTAGGGGTTAAGGTTTGGGGTTCAAGGTTTAAGGTTTAAGGCTTAGGGTTTAGGGATGAGGCTTTAAGCTTCAGGGTTTAGGGTTCAAGGTCTTATAGAGGAGATATAGGGCTTATACGCTTTTGGATTTGGTCTTTGTCCCGGTTTCAGTTTTGGGGCTTACCCCCTGAAGCCTAAACCCCACACCCTAAAACCCTAAAGCCCTACACCCTAAACGCCTTAAGGTCTAAACCGTAAATCCAAAACTCCTTAAGGTCTAAACTCTAAACCAGCAACCCTAAACCCTCATCCCTAAACCCTCTAAGGTCTAAACCCTAATCCTTCATCCCTAAACCCCTTAAAGTCTAAACCCTAAACCCTAATCCCTAAACCCCTCAAGGTCCAAACCCCAAACCCTAAACCCTAAAACCCTTAAGGTCTAAACCCTAATCCCTGAATCCCTAAAGCCCTAAACTCCTCAAGGTCTAAACCCTAAACCCCTTAACCCCTAAACCCGAAATCCTAAGCCCTAAACCCTAAAACCTTAACCCTAAATCCTAAACCCTAAGACCCCTAAAGCCCTACAGAGGAGAGCTCAGGCCTCATAAGTTTGCATATCGTGTTTAAACGGTTTAGGGATAAAGTTTTTGAAGGTTTAGGGTATACAGTAGGGATTAGGGGCATATCAGCTCTTTGCATATAAGCTCAGGATGATTTTCTTGCAATCCTTGTGCAGCCTCCACCTCGCCTTACTTGCAGGATTACGGGTTTAGGGCTCAGGCTAACTCCCAGAAAAGTGTCCCCCCCCCCTTCAAACCCTAAACCCTAAACCCTAAACCGCGTGAGGGCTTCAAGTTTGAGACTTCAGGGCTCCAAGCATAGGCTCACGTCAGCCCTGCAACCCTAAGCTCTAAACCCTCTTCAGGGTTTAGGGCTTATAGAACCAGAAATACATGTCTGGACAGTAGCCCGGCTCCTCCAGATGGACTTCTTTGGCTCCTCGCCGTCATCCACTTAAAGGTGGAATTTGTTTCCAAAAAAAGGTGTTTTCAAAAAACAGAATCTAGGGATAATACAAGGCCAAAGCATGTAAGGACTATGTGAGCCATAGCCTACACTCCTAGTACCCCCCTTAATACAGAAGGGTGCGCTGTGGGGCCTGGAGTCGTGAACATACCTAAAAACACGTGTTTTCATGATGTTTAGCATAGTAGTTAGGGATTATGGTATATGGTATATATATTAGAATCCATAATGATTTCCAGGCTCCACAGCGCATAGGCACATAGGCATACACGCAGAGCGCAGAGTAGAGAG